TTTTTGAGACAGGGTCTCGCTGTGCAGTTCAGGCTGGCCTTGAGCTCACTCTGCAGCCCAGGCTGGTCTCGAACTCACGACGATCCTCCTGCCTCAGCCTCCCAAGTGCTGGGATTATAGGCGTGCGCCACCACACCTGGCTCATTTCACTTCTATAAGTGCGTTTCTGTAAATGCCAATGTGAATTTCCTACAGATCAGTGATAAAAACACAAGCAACCCTGTAACAACTGGCAAGTTACGCAAACAGCCCCCTCCCAGCTGGGGCGGTCAGGACGCTCAGTCGGTGCATGAGGGTACTGGACGTGGGGAAATGGATCTGAAGCAACAGAGAGATGCTGGCACCTGTGCAAAAGCCCGGGATCATGACAGCGCCGTGTGCGAGGATTGGGACCACGGGGCTCTCCTCTGGGGTGGGTGGGAGCAAAACTGCTTCATCCCATTTGGAAGCTCAGCATGTTCTTGGATTTTAAAGAAAGAAAATAGATATACAAGAATGTGCACAGTAGCTCAAATTCTAATCAAAAGCGGAAACAGTGGAGGCCCTGGGTTCAGTTCCCGGTGCCGTGCCTGCGCGCGAGCACACCCACAGGCTCGGTGGAAACAGACCAAGCGCTCAGTAGTGGGAGAATGGATGAACTGTAGCACGGGAACAGGAGTAAAACAGAATGAGCCGCGCTGCACACAGCATAAGGAATGGATGTCATGAACACTGTCAAAAGTGCTGCCTTAGACTCACGCGTGCGGCTGTTTTGCGCACAGGACCAGATCAACAAGGATTTGTTCAGAGCCAGCTGAGGAGCTGGAGGGACCCATTCACCTCAAACCATTTCACCCTGTGCCGTGGGCAAGGGTCTTTTCTGGTAAGGGACGGAGGGCTGGCGGCACAGAGAGACGATGTGATCTCCACACGCTCAGAGGTCTTTGGTTTGTTCCTCTCTGTATGAGAGGTAACCCTGGCTCCAGGCTCCGGGCTCCGGGCTCCGGGCTCCGGGCTCCGGGCTCCAGGCTCACACCCACATCCCCTCACTTCACGTGTACTCTGTGATCCTACAGGAGGCGCAGTTTCTTCTGACGTCCTGACTCACGCTTTTCCAAACTGACCCGGTTCCTGGAAGCTTTAGCGCAGTCTCTGATCCTGCTGGTGCTGGGGAGGCTGGGAGCTGCACTGTACAGAGCAGAAAGCAGAAAGGGAGAGGACCGACCCTTGTTTGAGTCCCCACCCACGCACTGGCTGCGTGACCCCGGGAAAATGTCTTACCTGCTCTGAATGTTCGTTTCTCTGTGTGTACTTTGGGCTGTGAGAAATCTTAGAATTACACATCTCTTGATAGACTGGTTCTTACTTAAGTAACCTGCTCTAAGTTTAGAGGACAAAATTGGAAGATTTCAGCCTGGTATCGTGGTACACATCTGTAATCCCAACATTTGGGAGGTTGAGGCAGGAGGATCATGAGTTAGAGGCCAGTGTGGGCTACAAAAGCCTCTGCCTTTAAAAAAAATGGAAAGATTCCTAGTACGTAACCATGGCTACCAGGGTCAGGGCTGGGTGAACTTCTGGAACTCAAGATCTAGGTGTCTCACAGGTACCTGGGTCAGGCTGCATCTAGGGTAGCTCAGGCCTGGGATGATCTCCGTGGCAGTGGCGATGCTGGGGCTGCTACTGCTTGTGACCTGCACCTGGGTATATTTTGGGCGTGGATAAGAGACTGCTCTTCCTATTGGCTCTGTGATGCAGCTGCTCCTGTGCCTGGACGCAGAGGTGCAGGCTCTGGGAGATGAGCTGGGATGGAGAAAAAACTGCCCATGCCCCTAAATCAAAACCACTGCACATAGAAACAATCAGCCTCTCAGCAAATTGGCTCCACCCTTCCTTTGTCCCCGGGCCGGGAGCTCTCCGTGAGGGCGGGTACAGACCCCATGAGCTGCAGGTGAATCAGAAGCCGGCAGGGACTTCAGCTCTACCCTCATGCTGCTGGCTGCTTTCTAGGTCAGGCCTAAGCCTCGGTGTCCTCCTGACCACTGGCCAGGCACACTGTCCTGTGTGCAGAATCATGATGGCGCTTAGGCCCGCCCTGGGTGCTGTGAGTCCCCGAGGGTAGAAGTGGCTGGTCTTGCCAATAGAACATCTTTTTTCTTAGGCTCTGCATTAGAGTTCACTAAAGGAGCAAATTTAATATAAAATATATGTGATTATAAAAAGAACTTACTGAACAGGTCTATGGGGGCCAGATAGAAGGAGCCAGCTGCGGTGGGAGGCCCAGCGAGTCCAGGTGGGAAGGTGGGGGCCGAGGGTCTGCTGTGAGACTGAAGGAGCTGGACTCATCCGCAGGTGCTGGAGAAGCCTGAAACTCCTTCTGCTTCTTTCCCTTTCTATGCCAACCAGGCTGCAAGCCCATTGGTTGGCACCACCCACATCCGGGGAGGGCCTTCCCTCCTCAGTTTGTAGCCTGCCTGTCAATCATCTACAGACCCACCCAAAACTTTACTAATAAGCTAGGTGGTGCTTGTTCAAGTCAAGATGACAGCACCATAAACTACCACATGCACGGATAAAGACGTGGTATTTACACACAATGGGGCACCATTCTGCCATAAAAGGGATCAACTCGAGTGAGTCATCTGTAGGAAAATTGGTGCGCCTTGAGACCATAATGCTAAGTAAAATAAATCAGACACACAAACTTAAATATCTCATGATTTCTCTTGTGTGAGCAAACTAAAGTATAAATAAGAGCAACACAAAAGATAGATAATAAGAAAAAAAAAGACATGAAGAGAGGCGGAGGGGGAGGGACGTAAAAAGAATTAAGACGCATTATGTACCCGTGCCAACTCCTCAGGATGAAGACCACCATTATGCACTGCGCATACATGCTAATAAAAGTGGTAAGAAAGCAAATACAATGCTTCACCGGGAATGTACAAAACAACAAAACAAAAGTGAAACAGTTAAGTGTCACAGGACCCAACACACCTCGAATGATGGAGGATGTAATAACGAGCTCAGGGGACAACACACCCCGGTTCTGGTGTACAGAGATCTGGGTCCAGTGGCGGCGTGCAGGCCTCGCCCCTGGTGTGGGGAGCGGGCTGCGGACATCTGCGCCCCGCTGATCCGGACACTAACAGTGGTTTCCACTGGGATTTGGGTGCTCTGGTGGTGAGGAAAGGTGAGGAGCCGCAGGAGGTTAGGCTGGGAGGAGGCCACAGCGAGGGGATTTCTGCCCAGCGGGCTTGGGGAGGAGTCTGGATTCACTGTGCGGAAGTGGAGCTGCTTCTGTAAGTGCAGGCAATGCGGCGGGGGCGAGGGAAGAAACTGGCTGTGGGAAGGGTTACTATTGCCCAGGAGCTGGACCCTTTTCCTTCTTTCTTTTCTTTTTTCTTTCTTCTTTCTTCTTTCTTTCTTTCTTTTCTCTCTTTCTTTCTTTCTTTCTTTCTTTCTTTCTTTCTTTCTTTCTTTCTTTCTTCCTTCCTTCCTTCCTTCCTTCCTTCCTTCTTTCTTTCTTTCTTTCTTTCTTTCTTTCTTTCTTTTTTTCTTTCTCTTCCTTCCTTTCTTCCTTTCTCTCTTTTCTGACACAGGGTCTCGCTATGCAGTTCAGCTTGGCTTTGAACTCACTTTGTAGCTGAGGCTGGCCTCGAACTCACAGTGATCCTCCTGACTCAGCGTCTTGAGTGCTGGGATTCCAAGCGTGCGCCACTACTTCTGGCTATGAGCTGGACCCTTTCAATGCCAGCTGAGAGAACCACGACTGGAAATGGATGGTTATTTGCGGCTGATGGTGCATTGTGAAGATGTGCGACTGGTGGAGACGCTGGGCCACCGGAAAGCCTAAGAGCAGTGCAAGGTGCGTTTTCTATTTTCATCCCGCCAGCAGTTTCCTCATGGACCCCCCCCCCCCCGCCGCCTTGGAAAAGATTCTTCCCTATGAGAAACCCAAAATATAAATAAAAAGGAAAACACAGGACAGCTAATAGGAAGGAGGGAGATCTTTCTCAAAAGGGAGGGGAACAGGAGTTAGAAAGGAGAGGGAAGGAAAGAAAAAAATGGACTTAAAAAAACAAAGGATAAAAAGGAAACAGCTTTTTCAAATGGGAAGGGGATTAAGGCTTGGAGGGAGCAGGGAGGGGTGGGAGGGAAGGAAAACAATAGAATTCAGATGTATGTACCCGTGCAAACTCTTCACAATAAACGTGATTATTATGGACTGCGAACGTGGACTAATATAAGAAACACACACACGAAATCATAAAATTGCGAATGTAAAAAAAAAAAGGAGAAAAAGGGAGAAGTCAGAGCTGTGAGGATGAAGTGAGCCGACTTCACTTAGAAGGGCAAGCTATTGCTTTTCTGCTCGGAACGAGTCACCCTCGGGCCTGTGGACTCCTAGCATCCAGCTGAATTTGCGAGTTGTATTAATCAGTTGCTTTAGTGTTTGGAGACGAAGCGGCAGAAAAAAGAACAAGAGGTGAGTTCCTGCTACAGTGCCTCCTTTACGAAATACTTGGGGAAATCTGCCAGTGCCCACCTCGAGCCCCAGTCTGCGCCTGCTCCACAGACTCAGAGTTGAATCCTTTTGGTCATTTGCCTATTCTTTTAATTGGTGCAGGTCATATTTCGCTGCTCTGGGGAGGTAAAAATACTGTATTCTTTTTACAGCACGCCATTATGTTGTGACAGAACGCAACAAATGTCCATCCTGGTTTACAGCCGAAAAAACACAGGCCTTCACGTGCTGTGCAGGTTCGGACTTCTATGCCTCTGTTTCCAAACAAACCGTGCCCTGAGGGGGAAGAGAAGGGAGAAGAAAAACCAGTCTTCGGGAGGCTGGGCACAGTGCCCGCCTGTCTCCTTTTGCTGGTGGAGGGCTTGTTTTGTGGTGAGCTGTCTGGACCCTAGCCCTCACCCTCCCTACCCCATTTCAGCGAAGAGGCGGAGTCTCGGGCTGTCCAGCTGATTTGTGGGTGAGATAGGAATTTCGAGGGCTGAACAGGGAAGCTGCCTCCCCTCTCCCACGAGATCCATCCGTTTTTAGGGAGAAGCGGAAGATGAGCCGGGGAGGGGCTGAAGACCACCCACCCGCGTGAGTCCCTAACCTCTTGGCTCCTCCCCTATTGTTGCGAACGCTGCTGAGCCTCTCCTACCCAACCTGGGCCTTGGGAGACTCCCGCCCCTTTCAGTCCCTCCCCACCCGCTCCCCGCTCACCTGAAGGGAAGGAGATCACCAGAAAGACGAGTAAACCAGGAAGATACAGGCTCATGGCTGTGGGCAGCGCAGGGCTGGAACTTCCTGCGCGGTCCGCTGTCCGGTAGACTCCTTTATAGGGGCAGGCTGGGGTGGGTGGGGCTGAACCCAGGCCGCCTCTTCCTGCAGGGACCCATGGGGAGAGCACGTCTTCTGCAGGAAGAAGAGCTCCTGCGCCTTTCTGCGCTGCATCCTTTCCCACCAAGCACGTGATACGAAGGTCAGCTGTGGACGGGCAGCGTTTCCCAGCGGCACAGCAGGACCAGAGACCAGGCTCCTCCTGCCCGGGCCTGAACATGTGCCCTCATACTTCTTGACAATGCAGGGACAATGTCCAGCTTGTTTGCCCTTCGCCCTGGCCTGCAGCTGAGAGCCCAGGACCCCAGGGAGACGCTGTTATAAAGCAGGCTTAGTCCAAGATTGGACAGGATACAGCCACCAACTTCTTGTGGGGTTCCAGCAAGCAAGGGTCTTGATCAGCTGGGCCTGACCACAGAGGCAGGTGCTCAGCCAGCGGGGAAAGGAAGCTTCCTCTTCCTGTGTCCCATTTATTCACTTGGATTGAGGGAAATCCTGCAGAAACGTCCCCAGAGAAGTACTCAGACAAGCTTCGTTTTCCATATGGCTGGTGTGAGATGTTCCAGGCTTTCAGGGGCCTGGGAGAGATGGTCATTTTGGGGTGGATGGGTTGGAAGTCTTGCAGGCCTCTCAAAAGGAGAGTGAATTCAATGTTGTGGTCAAGGTTGGATGCCCGGGGTAGGAGAAGAACTGGATAATATTTCCTCCAGCTGCAGGCACAGCTCTTGGGAAGGGTCATTAAGCCTGTTCCCTTGGGGCAGTGCAGTGACCAGCAGTGCAGAAGACACTCACTGTGATTATTTTGTGCTCTTGAGGCAGGTTTGTACCCATGTGGGCCAATGGCGTAGGAATCTGAGTCCCTAATGCGGCAGTAGAGCGTTGTCTGGAACTAACCTAGCTAGGTTCCTCTTTTTATTTTTTTTTTATTTTATTTTAAAAATAAAAGAAAGAAAACATTAACAAACAGACAATCATTTACAAAATAGCAAAAGAACAATGCAAACAATGCAGGGTTATAAACAAAGCAGTAGGAAATTAACAATGCTTGTTGTATTACATATTGATATCTTCAAAGTGGTTTCTCAGGAAAACAAATAGAGATGCAATATTGATCAATGAAGGAATCATTAACTGCTTCAGTAAGAAATAGAATACAGTAGTTCAACTATGTCAGCTATCCTGTATATACATACATACATGCAAAATTTCTCCTTCTTTCCTTTCTCTTTTCCCACATCCCAGTTGCCCTTTACCCTTGAGCATTTTCCTTTTGTTTCATAATGTCTATCATACCTCCAAGTTTTTATTAACTCTTTTAGGTTTTACAATAGTGAGACAATGCAGTGCTTGCACATGCAGGTCTGATTTATTTCACTTATGAGTATGGTCTCTAGTTGGACCACTTACCTATAAAAGCCTCAAGTTTATCTTTCTTTATAGCTGAGTAATATTCCATTATATAAAAGTACCACAATTTTTTTATCCAATCCTCAGTGGATGGACATTTGAGGTGCTTCCACAATTTAGCAATTACAAATTGTGCTGTTATGAACACACTGTGATATGATGTTTTGAGATCTTCTGGGAAAATACCC